TGGCCACCCGGCTTTTACCGTCCGTCGCATCGTGGACTCCCGTCGGCGAGGTCGCGGCTGGCAGTACCTCGTCGACTGGGAGGGCTACGGACCTGAAGACCGTCAGTGGGTTCCCGGCTCTTACATCCTCGATCCTTCCCTGATCGAGGAGTATGAGCGTTCCTGCCCATCTACTTCCTCCGGACCGCCAAGGGGCGGTCGTTGAGGGGGGGGGTACTGTTGGAAGCTGGAGAAGTACCTCTCTTCTCCAGCAGAGTCCGCCGTGGATCCTCCTGAGCAGAGCCCTCTGCACAGCTGCTGCTCGTTACCATCATCAGGAGGACCCTCTACTTAAGCTGTCTTCAGACCTTGCCTCAACGCCGCAGTGTTGAGCCAGTTGGTTAGCACCTAAGCCCTGAACCTCTGAGAACTTTGCTTGCTCTGAGATCCTGACAGGATCCTAATCTTGTCTCTGTTTTTCCAGGAAAACCTGATCCTCCAACGTGAAGCTCTGGAAGAGCTTAACCCACCGAGCCTGCCCTCAGAGCCAAACCTGAAGACTTCCCCTGGATTCTCTTGCAGCTCTGGACCAAGAGCTGGAAATCCAAAGTCAAGGTCTGCTACCTTCCTAGAAGCAAGACACTGAAGCAGCTAACGGACTCAGCTAATCAGACTCTCTCCAGTTCTAACAAACTTCCTCTCCAAGATCCATTCAAGGACCCACAAGGTACAAACCAGAGACTATCAAAGGACAAAACCGCTAAGAGCCCAGCTAACTAACTGTCTTCCTCACAGACTCCGGTGAACCCGTTTGCCCAGGACCAGAACCAGAACAAACTATCATTGGATTGTATTCTATAAACTCTGTTAACTTTTCATCTGTTTCCTGTGTCGTGGTGTTCTGCATATTGGGTCACATTCGTGTACCGATCATGACAATAATATCTTGCAGCCACTGTGAATGAGATGGTGGGGAGGCATCTTTCCATCTGAGTAAGATTGCACGACATGCCAAAAGTAAAGCAAAGGCTATAGAATATTTTCTAGTAGCACTTGAAACAGCTCCACCCTCAAGGACCCCAAATAGGGCTGCAACTGGATTTGGTTCCAATTTGGTGTTAAATGTGCAAGATAATGTATTGAAGACTGCCTTCCAGTAGTTGCTTAATAGAGGACATGAGAAGAACATATGGTAAAGAGAGGCCTCAGATATGGGGAGACCTATGTCTTTTTCCCAAGCCATCTTGGATTTATCCACAGAGGAAAGTTCTCAGTTCTTATGTTTTATTGTCTCCTACGTGTTCATCCCCATTTTCACTTACCAGTGGTGAGTCTGACATAGTGGAAAATAGCAAATCTTCTTTTGGAAAATAAGCTTGTACTGTATGAGTGATGTAAAAAGCAAGGAGAAGAAATGTATAGTCCCATATTTTCTAGAGGTTTGGATTCCTGGTTTTCACTCAGGTGGCACTGGTTCGACTCATGGTATGGGGACTTGCTTTTCCTCATTATTACAGTGGAGAATATCCACACCTTTCATGCAGAAGACCAGGGTTCAATTCCTCATGGCCTGCATTCTGGGTCACTGAGCAAGACTCTTAACTCCACACTGCTCCACGGGCGCCACACAATGGCAGCTCCCCAAGGGGATGGGTTAAATGCAGAGGTAAATTTCTCCAATATGAAATCAATATAGCTCAATTATTATTATTAAATGGGCTCTTGCATGCTCTGCGTTTAATAGGCGTTCCCTCTCGGGAGCGGGTACAGGGTTGTGTTGTGCATTTTTTCTTTTTTTTAAGTGGAGAGGGCGGGTCTTCTGAAAAATGTATGAAAATCCTCCACTATACCTTTAAGGTTTAACTTCCGAAATATTTAAGAGTAACAAAAAGCCAAACCTGGTAGTACACAGGAAATATGTCAACTATTATTTGTCTCTGAAGAAAACTAAACTCTGCCTGTTTTGATTGGACGGTGGGAATGGAGAATGGAGTTTGTGGGGAACTGGACACTTAAGTCCACAAATGGCCACACAGCCTGTTGGCTTATAAAAAAAAAAGAAAAAGATACACACACGGATACATTCAGCTGCTAATGTGGTGCCCCAGACAGCTTTTCCGGAAGCATACAATTTCCTTTGGAACCACTGTAAGTCCCTGTCCACTAGTCAGATGACTCCCTGGGGGCTATAGGCCACTTTGTGCTACTCATCTGGACCTCTCTCTTACATCTACCCCATCCTACCCCCCACCAACTCCAGATAACGCATATGCTCGCTTGTGTAAATGGATACAGAGACCCTAGCTCTTGCAGACACATGGACGCTATTCACACACAATGAGGTTCAATGGGTTCATATATTCGTATAGAAATTGCAATTTGCATGGCCTTATCAAGAATGCAGTTGATTAAGGCCTAAGGTACGGTACCTTATATCTTTCATATTTGACTCAGTCAACATAAAGCAGTAAAAGTATGAGCCAATCAGCAAACACGCTACTCTTGCAGTATAAGGGCCCAATCAAGAAAGAAAGAAATACTTTAGCATTTTTTCTATCATACATACATTTTGAAAAGAGGAAATAGTGTTTACTGAGACATGAGCAGCAAATCAAACACAGAGATCAAAATAATTTATTCACAGTGAATATTTTACAGATAATGTATATTTTCCTTTACTCTCAAGGATTTTATGCTCACATTAGCCCTCTGTGCTCTATCTGTTCTTCTGGGACATCTGCCTAATGTATGTCATCCACCCCAGGGCTATCATTCAATACCTTCTACACCTTCATTCAGCCGACACATCTCTGCAGCTCAAGCTATCTTTTTCCAGCTGTTCTAAACGACCCCTCCACAACAGATCCTATACTTCAAGGACAAATATGCAGTATTCCACCCATGTACAAAAGCTCACCTCAGAATTCATAATCCTTTTGAACTTACCGAACTTGCTGCATCTGCAAAATGTTGACATATTTTGTTGAATGTGCTAGCTCAACATAAAGGAGGAAATGTTATTGAAAAAAAATGGATGTATGACCAAAATGTCTGAAAAGATTTTTTCTTTTATGTTTTATCTTCATAAAACATAGTGTCCCTGATTCCATTTAAAAATCAACCAATAGGAGTCATCAGCTGTTATTCAATCTCTGTTTAAATGCAGCCGTTCTGTGACGTTTGTTAGAGAACAGACTAACAAGCAGAGCAGGGAATCAATTGTGGAGAATTTGTGGCAACTCACTGAGCACTGCTGTCATCTAAAACTGGGAAGGACTGTGAAGTATGGTACAGCTGTACGTCTAAACTGACAGGCACTGCATTTATCAGAGAGGCAGCCGGGATGTCCATGCTTGCCTATTAGTTAAAATTGGCAAGGTCTTGTAAAGCCCTACAGGGGTCTACAACCTTATAAATCCAAAGAGCCACTTTACCCCAAGCCCAGCTAAAATAAAAATCGTTTAGAGCCACAATTATCACATGACTTAAAAAAAACAAAAAACACAAGTTATTATTTTTGTTTAATATCTACAATAGGAAATCTGTTGCCGTGTTATTTAACACCATACAGTTTATAAGTATTTTTTGTTTTTAACCATTTAATCAAATAATGAGTGTGATATTTTTTGTCCCTGAAAAAACTGAATTATACAATCAGAAACATGGAGTAAACAGAAAATCCATCACAATGTATAAAAAATTACATAAATGACTTATCTAATTTAATATTGAAAGCTGAAAAAAATAGGATATTATGAAAAATATTTCATGTTTGGGGCTTTAAAGGGTGGAAATAGGGACAAAAATAAATGTTTCATTAAGAGGAAGCATTAATTTTGTTCTATATGATATTATTTTATGTAAAAAATAAAAATTTAGTTTCCAAGCTAATGACAAGAAACAGAGAACTAAAAACATTCCCAGTTTTTTAAGTCAATTAGTTGTGAATGGCATTTGTTAATATATTCAAAACAATTAGTTAGTTCTTTATAGTGTTTAGCAACTATTGAGAGCCATTGTAGAGGGTCCAAAAAGCAGCAGCAGCAGCATCATGCCACGGCCATGCTTTTCTCAGCAGTGATGGGATTCTGATGGTAAAGTGGGTAAATCTAAATATAGCACAGTTATGGACAGAAACCTGATTGAGATTAAAGAACTGAGACTGAAATAGAAGTTTGGTTTTCAGCAGGATATTCAACGCTAACATGCAACTAGAGCTACGATGGAATGGCTTAGATGTCCTTCGAATTGTCCTGTCAATGTCAAAGCCTTAATGAAACTAAAAACCTGTAACAAGACTTGAAAACACATTAAAAGTTGCTCTCCCCTCAATCTGATTGAGCTCAAGCATGACTGTTAAAAAAGGGCAACATGTTCTGTCCTTCTTTTAACTAAATATCTAAACCCAGCTTGAGACGATTACATATTAAACTGTAATTGCAGTAAAAGTTGGCTTAAAAAGGTTCATCACAGAGATGAATGCAAATGATCACCACAATTTGAAGATTTTAATTCATATTAAAAGGTTTAAATTAAATTTGCTTTAATGTTGTACTGTTTTTTTTTTTATCTTCTGTTTTTGTGACACTTCTACTAAGAAGTATAAGCACACAAAACATGAAACCATGATTCAGGCAAAGGATTGTGTTTTTAAGATAATTCATCTGGAGGAATGCATGATTAAAAACGGAGGGAGGAATAAGGGTGAAAATATGTTATCAATGTGGTATTTAATTATTTCCTGGTTGTTTCATCATTCTGGTTTGATTGGTGTGGTTGGGGGTGGGGACAACTAGGCACAAAAACAATAACAGCACTAATGTTGCAGCTAAAGCTACATCAGCTCTACACCCAGCTTCAAGGCTGTAATTTGACTAGAGTGATAAAACAAGATGTACTTCCTTTGATCCCTTGTGTGTTTCAATAGGTAATTGATTTGACTCCTCTAATGAGTACACAATTTCATAAAAAATGATTTCTTCTGAGCATCGAGGTGCAAAATAACACATAATAGTCTTCAATTTTCTTAAATATCATTTATTGCATGTATCTATAAAGAATCATTACAATCTAAAGCAATAAGCTAAGTTTAAATTATCATTTCTTATTAGCATCACAATGTGCATGATATGAAATATTTACAATGAAGACACAGCGAGGGATGCCATAGCCCATGTCGTAACCTTTTATGATGCTGAATAAAAACATTTTCCAAAATGCAAAACACTGCTCAAAAACACCCAAAATATTTCATTAGCAAAAAGAAAGAGGGGGAAAAAGCCAAAAAAGCCTTTCATTTCAAATTTGGAGGACAAAAAAATTGTACAAACAGCAAACATTTTTGATTTTAACCTTTAAAAACAGTAACATTGTTTCTACATTTGGTTCATCTCAGTAAACTAATTTTCAAAAAGGTGTAAATATTGCATAGATGCCAGTTGTGTTGTAGTATCAAGAAGTAATTGTGTCAAGTATTAATATTTTTTTCAATTATTTTTTCTTTTTTTTTCTGAATTACAGCATTAGAAAATGTCCTTATAGTGGCATCCATTTTGCAAGACTATCCAATGACAGTTACAAAATAAAAAAATCAAAAGCCAAACCTTGTTGGTTAGCATATAACTTAGTGCTTTTGTTGTATCAGAAGAGTTCACTCAAACACAAACTATGTACAGTACAAACATATTGTTTAACTTAACACCTCTGAAATTTTATCAGCATTTTCTCAGATGCAGTTCTCTGTAACACCCCACTATTTACAGTATATAGGCGAAGGTAAAGTACCTGTGAGTTCAGATAAATAAGAAGACGCTTCCCTTGGTTTATCTTTTTCATTCAGCGAGTGTAAGTGTGGTGGTTCCCGTTTAGTACATCTGGATGTTGCGTTGTTGGAGCCTGTGTTCCTCGGCTCAGAACACGGCACGTACTACATTCAGCATGTCTTGTGTTACAATCTGGAAAGTTTATAAATGCAGAACCGTGCAGAAGACGGCTAATCAAAGGGACAAGCCCAGCCGTCATAGGTGTATATGTGCCACATTGCTTTGGTGGCGAAGCTCTGCAATGAGGCATCAGGTGAGGGGGAAAAAATACTATCCTAGGCTGTATAAATCGCTTGCAAACATTCAATCTCCTGACACTTGTTCTGACTGGGCAAGGACCAGTTACCAGTATTAGGTTTACAAAAGTTCAGCTTTTAAAACTGCTAAAAAAAATTCCGCCATAATGTTCCCTGGCTGGAAAGCGTACCATACTTTAGCCTTGCTTACAAATAAAAACACATTCAACTGTTTGGAAATATTTCTGGTTGGCAAAAACAAGGGCAGTCATTTCTGTGGAAACCACAGGAGTGTTCATTACTCTCGTTGGAAATAAAAAATACTTTACCAGCTAAAGCAAGCGAGCTAACTAAGCAGACAGCCTACATAATTAGCCCACTTACTGATATCTACTGTATATTCTGTTCAATAAGCCCTTGATCAAATTTTCATTGTAAATTTTTGCTCAGGTCTGTTTCAAAATAATAAATAGAAATAAGGGATAAGAATAGTCATTATATACATCTGTTTTAAATAAAAGCAATAGTGTTTTAATTTTTGTTTAGGATTTCAATCCATGTATCTTAGTACCTTAAAACTGTTGCGTTTTTCTTCAAAGTTAACATTAAAACATTAGAATCTCATACCGGCCCATGCTTAGACCAGATGGGTCATAGCGTCCTGCAGGCCTTGTGCAGGAAGTCAAAGATGAACTGAGACTTGTGCTTTAACAATCACACCCATGATGCTCTGCTGCCTGCACCTTAGTAGGTGCTGCTAAGGTTTTTCTGTGTGAAAACACCATGTCATACATAATAATAAATATATTACTATGGATTTTGAATACATATTTTTTGTCATACAAGTGGCAAGATAAGGAAGTTAATCTCAGAGAGGCTGGCTCTGATAAACATTCAGTCACTTAAAATGATCGGGTAAATCTTTGATACTGTATGTAAAGGTCCAACCAAAAAGAGTCCATCAGAATGAGGCTGATGGTTAGAGTAAGGCTTTGGATTGTTGTTGTTTTTTTTTATATATATATATAATTTTTTTCTTTTTATTTTCACATTCACCTCTGAAAATAAATATTTCATATATATATATATCTACTTGTTGACTTGGTGCTGAGGTATTTCTTGTGTAAGCAAACATAACCTTTGACTTTTAAATATGCTCACAAACGCCGTCTCTTTTTGCTGAACAACCCTGTATACAGATTCTCACCCTTTTCATTTAATGCAAACATACACTATTGATAAATAAATAAATATGTGTTCATCAGTACTCATGAAAGGTTGTTTTCTTTTGTTGATTTTTTTCTTGCATGTAGTTGTTAGCTCATGCTCTCCGGGTTTGGTTCACAGGTTTTATGGTAAGAAAAATCTGACTACTACTTGGCTAAAGCCAAAACAAAACAAGTTTCTAAGTCCGGAAATGGACATAAGTTAAACAGATGATGATCTAATAATGTGCAGAACAGTTTGAAGGCCTAAACGCAGAGATAAAGTTATCCATCAAGTGTTAAGAGTTTTATATTCTGTTAGAGTTCTTTTTCTAGCACTACAGCAGCAATGGCACCTGGATGTTTGGGTGCTGAGAAAAAAAAGGAGAGGGATTTAGGTAAAGGGTCCAATGTCCATTTGTCCAAGGTTATGGCCGCAGCATAAAGTTGAAGGGACGTCAGCTGTCCAGCTGTTGCAGTGGTGACCTTGTCATCAGGATGCAGCAGAATTAACTTTCACAGCAAAGGAAGGGAAAGGATGAGGAACGCTGGGAAGACCAATGAGTCTTCACTCTGAAATAGAAAAAAGAAGAAAATAAGACTTTTTAGATTTCTTAACGCTCTGTGGTTAAGGGTATGCATTCATTACTATTTAAACAAATAATGGAAGAAAAAGCCCACAGTTGAAAAACATTAGGGTTCTGTTTCAGAAGGAGCTGTGTAGTCTCTGCAATGAAATGATAATCTAGCATCTTGAGAGGCCTGAGTGCAAAACAACTCAACACTGTAACCTTTCAGAGTGTTTTTAACAACAGAACTGGGTATTTCTTGTGTTTGAGGGGAGTGTTGCAGTATGCTTGTGCTCTGAGAAGGTTGCAAGTTTGATTCCCACACTGCTCCCCGAATGCCGCACAGTGGCAGCCCACTGTTTCCCAAGGGGATGGGTTAAATGCAGATAAATTTCTCCAGTGTGAGATCAATTAAGTTACATTATTATTATTAATCATTATTATTTTTACTTCTCAAAAAGGTCAGCATTTACTACTTGAGCTTCAATGTGAGTCAATGGTATTTAGGCTGTTTGGAGGACTTAAATATTAAATAAATAAAAGATCAAAAAAGAAATAAAATAAATAAAAAAGAGATGGTTTAGTTTAAGGTATAAAGCAGTTTCTTCAATCCTGGTCTTCAGGATCCACTGGCTTACATAGATGTTTCCCTGCCTCCAAACACCTGACTTAAATAAATTGAAGATTAATGGGGCCTCTACAGCCCTTGGTAGCAGCTGAGGAGGGAATTCAATCATTAGATTCAGGTGTGCTGGAGCAGAAGCTTTTCTAAAAGATGCAGAACCCTATTAGAGGCCCCTGAGATAAACATTTGTGTGGCATACCTGCTGGTTGGAAAGGTTATATTGTAATCTTTAAAAGAAAAGGATCTTAAATGGAGGTAGGTGGAAATTTCTCACACCTTTAATCATAATGCTGGATCCCCACGAAACATAAGATGTTACTGTTTAACTTGTTCTATGATTTTATTTTGTCAAACAACCCAGATATCCCATTGACTACCAAAATGGAGACCAGGAGAAAGCACTTCGGTTTTGGAATCCTATAGAAAACTAAAAACCACCCAGTGTACCTGTGTGATCAGCAGCTAACAGTTAGCCGGTCATATATTGTGTCTCTTTCTCCAATATTCTGCCAGATAAATAATTTTAATGTGTTTAATGTTTACTAGGGAATTTCTAACACAATTTAAGGTTTATAAAATTTCTATCCTATCTGAGGAAACATATCAAGATGATGTTAATGAGTCAAAACTAGGCTAAATAATCATTATTGGATCAAAGATAGTTTACAATAGCTGTTTATTTTGAGGTTGCTTTCATAAAAATAAAAATAAATTATTCATTCTCTCCACCTCTATATGTTTAAAAGTTATTTATACAACATTATGGATTTGATTTTTCAGCAAAATCCACTATGAGTAGTTTGCAATTGTGCTGTATTATCCCTCAGATGGCACACACTTGACCAGCATGTGCTGTTATGGAAATGGAAAAAAAACAGCATGGCATTTAAAATCTCCTGATTTGAAGAAAAAAAAAAGAAAACACTAATACTTTACCCATACAAAGCACTTCATCTGTCCCTCGCACTCAAACTTAAGTGTTTTCTGATACTCTGAGAGCAGAGTGGTTGACGTCTAGCTTTTCTCTCAGTGGAAAGCTGTGCTGACCTTATGCCCCTCTGTACATGTTTGTGGGGTTTCATTTGCATGCAGGGCTATCAGATAAAAGCGGAAGTCTTGGCTGGCTGACATAAACACACACACGCACACACACAGATAGCGGGTGCATTTCTTCTCTCATTCGCTGCCCCCTCTGCTTCTTCCTGGCCATGTAGAACAAGAGCTGTTTTCACAAAGCTGAATGTGATCATCATTCTCTGAAACAAGCCTTTCATTCAGAATCTGCTGTATAGCCCCCTCCCACCCTCTCTCCATCCATTCAAATCATAAACATACAAACATACACACTTCTGCTCTCTATCTCTGCTCTATACAATCTGCCCTGAAGGTAAATGTCGATTGCAATGTTAGTTCTACAGAGAAGAAAGCACAGGGAAGCTGCTTTGGGGGGGTGTCCGGGATGCAAATAACTGGATAATTGATTTTACTCCTGAGGCCACCTGTGCTGGCGGAGACTGAGGAAAACAGACGCAGTGGGGAGGGAAGCGGTGGAAAAACCACAGTAACAGAGTGAACCTGACAGAGAGGAACGGGAATGCAGTGAGGTCATGGGACTCAGAGACCATGCCGATCCAAATGTGTGTGTGAGGGGATGGGCTAGTCAGCAGCCTGTAGAGGCAAGCACTTGGGTGAGAATGACTGTGATCTGCCGGGAAGGCAGTCTGAATCACCTTAACAGCTCAGACCAGCAACCAGGTGTGGTTGTGAAAACAAATGGATGCATCACTTTTTTCTACATCCTTTCTCCGATTCCTTCTAAGAACAATAACTGCAAAGACCAGGATCAGCCACACACAGCACTTTTCAAACCAAAGAAGATTGTGGCAAAGAAAGGGGTGGGAGGGAAGATTTGGTGAAGGGGGGCAGTTACAAGGAGGAGGGGAATGGAGATCCAACAGGGGAATGAACCCAGTAGCCTCTACCCCTCCTCCTTTTTACAAGCACATGCATACACACCCCCACCTCTCCCTGCTACTAAAAGCCCACTCCCCCCCTCGCATACCTGCCCACCCACACCAACTCAGACACACAAAAGCCCTGTTCATTATTTATTTAGTTCACTCAAGCTAAAATTAGCCCCCTGTCCCTTTCAGGGATACAGCTATGTATTAGTAATCTCTTTTCTGGCTCCTTACTCTCTGTTTGTTGATTATCCACCAGTTTATTTGACTATTTGTCTTCAAAACCTGAGCAGTAAAAGATGGAACAGACAGGTCTGCCTTCTTTGTTTACATTCCTGAACCCGGTCAGCTCCTCCCTGATCTACAGCAGCGCTGAGGTCAAACAAACAGCGGCTGACAATGCTGACCTACCACACTTCTGCCGGAGCAACAAAACAAAAACACCAAGAGAGCTTGCGGTCTCTCTCCAATTCATATGAAAGTAGAGATGCACTAATCAATATGCAAAAGCCTGGTTGTTCGTTTCCTTCCAGCTCATACATGCAAAATTTGTGTTGGCATCATTATAGATCAGTTAATGAACAGCCTTTTTTTCTAAATCCAATAAAGGTTCATTTTTGAGTAAGTTTAAGACTAAAAGGCATGTTTTTATTTCCTGTCATCTGTAATAGGAAATATATCTAAAGGCAGAATCAAAGAGTCAGACTTAAGGGAAAACTGGAAGTCGGTATTGGCAAGGCGTGTTGTCTTATTATTCTAGATGAACATACCGCTCATCCTATTTAAAGCCCTTTTATTGAAATGATTAAAAAAGGTGTCATGAGTGACTAAAGTTGTCTCCAACACGGTCCATTACCTTACCTAACCTTCGTTGCACATGGTCGGTAAAATTTTATAAAACCTCTGTTTTTGCTTAATTTGTGAAAATGTTCAAACTAATACATTTAATGATATTTCTGGTCACCAAAAGCACAGGCACCCATGTCATGTCTACTAAGTAACACCAATTTTAGTTGCCTTTGGCATGTCTAAGCAGCTGCCTGCAGGTGCTACATAAGCTGATAGCCTGGTTGATAATCCAGTTAGTATCGTTTGTAATATTCTGCACGATAAAGACCAAAGGACCAAATTAGTATAATATTCTTCATAATAAGCATCAGAAAATGTGCACTACATCTGCTCCATATTTACCTTCTAATCACTATATGATACTCCAAATGGCTATTATGTTACAGATAACAAAGCCCTCACTGTCATGATCAACATCTCATATATTTTGAAAATAGTATTTCGATTTTTTTCTTATTTAAAATGAAAGCAGTAGTTTTTTTATGTGTTAAGTATGCAAAATTTGATATTGAATTTATGAACGCAGCATCAAATTCTCATCCAGAACGATGTCCAGTTTGTAGCTGGCAGAAACAGGGAGGAAGTAACCCATGTAGATAAAATTAGACAACAGTTATTTGACTTAAAGTAATTACTTAATCCATCAATCAATTATCAGCACAACAGCTGCTCTATTTTTAATTCAGGTGTCTGAAATAATGGATGTGACAGCTCCATTCTCCCACAAGAGCATCTTACTGGCGTAAGGCCTATCTAGAGACAGAAAGTTGGAAGCATGCTTAGGAGAACACATGTTTCACAACCTCCCAAACCAAGCACCATGCAGCGGTCCCCTCTCACCTGGCTTGTGTTTGTGAACAGGACAAATATGAATATATAAGGATCGCGTACTTGCATCAAACACGCAGAGCCACTCTATTTGCATCACCTTTCGAAAAACAAGCCACCGAACAATGTCTAATCCTGAAGTGAATGTAATCCGTCTTACCTCCAAGCTAAATTGAGGATACGTGAGGTTAACTTTGTTTTGATCTCGCGCTGGAACATCCCGCCCTACTTTGCTCAAAGAGTTATGTATCAGAGTCGCTGCTTAGGTGTGTCTGCAGGGCAGGGGATGTTCAGGACAGGTGAAGATGCATACTCCACCATTTGAATATTCAAAATGAGCATTAAAAATATGAGGGAAATGAGACGGGGGGAAAAAAAAGAGGCAGGATCCTTTGGCTGATTTTCTTAAACAACTGTCAGTTGTCTGTAAAACCCATAGAACGCATTTGGTAAAGAAAAAAAAACAGAAACCTAAGAGTGCTGCATGTGGAGAAGGTGTATTTTTGTGCGAGTGAAAGAAAAGAAAAGGAGGGCGAGGGGAGAATGAAATCACATGGCCTCTGAAAAACAGAAACCAGGGTCTTCGGAGAGCGACGATAAGGAGAAATGGGGGGAGGAGAAGGACGCACATGAGGAGTGAAAGGGGGGGAGGGTTTGTGGTTGGCTTCTTGAAACTGCTTGGCCACGCCCCCAGCTCCCCTCTGTCTCGCACACATAGACAGGCACAGACACACACACCCTCTCCCTCTGTTGTTGTGGTGGCAGATGGCGGCCAGTCACTGCCGTATTGTCACTCTCCTCGGAGGGGCCAGATAACCAGTGAGTACTGCTTGGAGGGGCAGGTGCAGAAACCCCTGACCCCACTGCACCCCCCCCACTACCCGCCATCTGCTGATAGCTGTATATGTACGCACATGGTAGTGGCACTAAAAGTCAGAATGTGTGACTGGTGGGTGTATTTTTGGGGAGAGGGGGGTGGGCAAGAGGTATGATCCCACAAATGGAGAGCATGAGTCAGTTTTGCCCCTCTGTCCGTACCCGTGCATGACTACTTTTAGTCAGAAAGCCAAATGTTTTTTTAAAAAAAAGAGAGGGAAATTTGGAACAGAAATGAGAAAAGGATGAAAAAGAAATTAATTAAACAAAAGGCTTGAAGAAAAGATGTTAGGACGCCAGACACGCCTCCCGTTTACCTTTGCAGACTGAAACATAGAAATTTAAGTGAGTGGATTTATCGTAATCCTTCTAACACAACACCATCTGACACTCAGACGAAATAATGACAAAGGCTGTGTTTCAATCAAAGTTTACTTCAGGGCAATAGGAAAAATTGACAAAGCAGTCTAAATTTGGCTGAAAACCTTCTCTGGGTTTTCAAAACATGTTTTTACGTGTCCTTCAAAAAGATTTAGCCTCTTTTAACAAAGTGCTGTGGTGCATAAACAAAGATGGACACACCTAGAAGTTTTCACATCTAACAAGTCATCACATTTCATCTGGTAAAAAAGTGTGAAGGCAAAGCTGCACCTACTAGATCTTTTCTTGACTTTTTATTTTTGTTTGTTTTGGCATTATGATCTTTTGACATTTTGTTTTTCTGAAACTATCCCACATAATAGAGGAACAATCTTCTGCAGGTTCTTTAATAGAGGTTGTCGTTTTAAATCCAAAACAATGAAAAGCAATTTCATGCCTGTTCGTATCTATCTTTGTTTGATACTAGTATCAAACCCAAACAAAGAGTATTGAAGTACCTGCTTTTGGTTGATATGTTTATACTGTAAAATCATAGGAGTACTTTACTTAGTTTTAAATGAGTAAAGCTATTAGAAAAAAGGAATTTGGCTCACCAATTGGAGTGGATAAAGGGAATAACTGTCTATTCCTATAATGTATAATTGCCTCTCTAATGTAATGGGTTTTTTTTTTTTTTTTTTTATACAAACATATCTCGATTCTTAAGTCCAATGCAAAAATTTTGACTGCAAAACTCCAGCCAATCTGGACCGTAGCAATTTGACTAACTGGCTTATTATTTCTGCCATTTTTAAAAGAGTTAGTTTGAAATTCAGAACACAAACATAGAGAAATATGGCAACCGTTGGCAGACCAATAACGTTTTCAACTGAAACTTGCAGAACTTCCTTTGTAGACTGGCAAATAGGAAGTGTTTACAAATGTACAGCTTCTTCTTCCCTTATGCAAAACTGTGATCAAGGATGCGAGATAACAACAGGTGATGGCCGAATGTACCTTAAGTATTGCTGGAATGCAAACAATGGCATACCCAACTATCACAGGGGAATGTGGCAAAGCCTGTCGTCTTGTAGTAAAGAGGTGTGGCCAATGTTTAGGATTTTGATGCCAGAGGTTTTTCACCTCCAAATGGAGGGATACTGATTCTTGCTTTCTGCTGTCCAACTAGCCTTTTGCAACTAGGCATGTGCAAACATCAGACTTTGTCATCCTTTTCAGAGAGGTAAAACTGTAGACAGTATAGATAGACTAATACATCAGCCGGCCGATATCTTGTGCTGATATTTGCTTTTTTTTTCTTCATCAGCATTTGCCGACTCATGGTTGTGCAATCAGCTGCCATGCATTGCATTCACAAGCGCATTCATTGTCCTCCATTTGCTCTTTGTTAATGTTTATTTTTTAGTTTTTGTTAACAACTTTCATTTTTTTCTTTTTCTTTTGTTATTGTTATCATTCAGATGAAAGAAAAAAGTAACATCACCTTCTAAAATCAAAGGCACATATCGGGGATTGGTTAGACTGATGTCAAAAATAATCGGTGTTGGTCTTAAGAAAATCTGTGATCTCAATCACTAGTAATTAGCCTTATTTCAACCAGCAGCAAAAGGAAGGGGTGGGAGAGAGCTGCTTTATACAGCCAAGAAGAACTCCACCTCTTTCTCATGAAATGGACGTTTAGATCAAAGAAACAATACAATGAAAAATCTCAGCTGTCTTAAAATTTAACTTTTAAAAACCCCTGTAGTGCTTTGCAGTGTAGTTTACTGCATATGAAAAACAAATTATCATTCTGTTCACATAATATTCTCAAACAAGCCTTCTCATACAGCCTTGTCGTTCTAACCTTTTGGAGGTTTTAATTTGTTATACTTCGAAGTGACTGCAACAAGACAAGATTTATATAACTATTAAAGTGGTTTTTACCAGCATTTGGTCAATAAAGAGTTACGTTTGTTTCATCAAGGCTTTAGTCGGAAATGTTTTATGTGAAGAAACAGACCTAAACAGAGTAAAATAAAAAGTTTTCAGCCAATAATATTAAGAGAACTGATTTATACATAATAAATAATTAATTTCCATTATCACTGTAAAGTTGAGGATATGAAATGTAGAGAGGGATGAAATGGAAGTACAACGTGGGAAAGGGGTGAATTTACTCAGAGGGATCTCCACTCAAAAGCAAACCTCAGTATTTTTCAACCAATCCGGGAAGATTTTCCACAGACCAGGAAGGGCACAAGCTTACAAGTTCACGTGTGTCCTCACACAAAACATGTTTATCAAACCTTGTTCTTCTAAAAGAACATTTCATTGGCATGTTTGTGAAGTTGCTCACAGTGGGGGAAAAGAAAAGAATCCTCCCATTACAGCCCCCCTTTCTAAGTCCATCCCACCAGGTTAGAAAAACAAGTGAGCATTCACCTCTCCCAGCAACCTTTGCACACTGCCCGCATTCCAGCCCTGAAACCCAGTACCTGACAATTGATAAACAACTGACTCACTTGTTTTTCTGGGGAACCCGATGACTTGCACTGAGCTTCACGCTGACTGCAGCTCACAGAACGAGAGCCTGGCTGAGACCAGAGATGGGGAGACGGTTGTGAAAGCACAAACACTAATTAAACTCTACTATTTCACCACTGGGAACACAGACTTCTGTGACTCACAAAGATCCCGACTCTCCCTATTTTCTTTTCAAGCAAACAACAACTTCTGACATGCCCCTGACGGGATCATCCATCTCTGTAAATAATCCCTTCCGTTTACACATGTATGAAAGGCCACTGATGCAACACTGAATGAAATGAGGTGAAAGGTAATATTATGATGGGGGATATGTCCCCTCCCCCTCCGTTCCACGCACACAGAGACATAGCCTTTCCATGGTTACAAAACACTGTCTAACATATGCAGAATGAAATATATATATATATATATATATATATATATATATATATATATATATATATATATATATATATATATAAAATGTGTGTGTACAATATTAGCCAGTGTAGTTCCTTTAAGACCAGCATCATAATGTGGTGCGTCACTGACTATGGTTTTATTTATATATATATATATATATATATATATATATATATATATATATATATATATGTATATATATATATATATATAAATATGTATATTTTTTTTTACATACTGACGTGTTAGAGATCTGCGTCACTGTAAGAGAGCAGAGCAAACCATTCACACAAAACATACAAAGGCAGAGTCAAGCCAGAGTAAATACAACCGTTGGAAGTCGTTTCAAAATAAGACTCTGCAGATAATTATTAAAGAAAATGTAAACTCCTATCAGCTAATTAAGTTAAAATAATTGGCTACTAAAAAAAAGCAGAACGCTGCACACATAATAGACAAGTGTTTTGTAAATGTGCCTCCTTTCTTTACCTAACCAAAATACCTCAAATCTTATTTAGAAAGAAAAGAAAATCTGTTTCCAGGCTTTCAGCTCTGCACTTTAAAACAAGATAAAAGACCTCCTCATCATCTCGCAGCCTTGGGATTTTAAATGATGGGTGGAACTAGTAGGTGACTAATCCTATCTAAACATCACAGCCCACACCCAGTAGCCATGTTAATAACTAGTTTACTTCTCTGAAGCTCGTGTAGCCTGTGTTTACATATATCAGCAGTGGAAGAGTTAAAAATAATAATAAAAAAGAGACAGAGCTGATGACTGGGTGCTGGTTATTTTTAACATTATTCAAAGTCACAATTATGAGATTCTAAAAGAACTTAAAGTTTAAAAATAATACAGAGCATGCTTGCATCTATGATGTTCTTATGCAGATGATAACTTTTATAACAGAAAGAATCTCATGACATGCACAGCCAAACTCTTCAGACTGTAAAGTCCGATAAAGGCGGATCTTTATCCTACTCTGCCCTTACACCACTCCCTTTATGAATGAAAAACCTACTGAATGAATGGGCGTGTGCAATGACGATAAACACTCACCTTTCACAGCAGCAGTAGTAGTCTCCTTGAATCCCAGGCTGGCATAAGGGCTGGCGCTGAAACCATTTAGGCCCCCTTTGCAGCCGCAAGCCGTCTTGAACCTCAGGATTTCGTCGCACCCCCCTAATCTGCCCCCTCCAAGGTTTCCCTCCATCAGGTTTAAGGCAATGTAGTTCAGTCCATTCTGATACCCCGCTGACGTTTCCCTGCACATGGGACTGTTGTGGTCTTCGCCAGGCCCCTCGGAGCTTTGCACAGAGCGGGACACGTTTTCCACAGAGGCGGAGCTGTGCCGCTTGGCGTCGTGGGCAAAAGATGGGCACACTGGCGTCACAGTAGTAGTGGAGGAGAAGGTCTCGGAGCTATGTCGGCGACGCCCCTGAGGGTCTGCCCGGATAACTTTGGCCCCCCGGTTTGGATCTACAACTGTGTGAGATAACGAAGGACCCCCAAGCAGGAAAGAATCTACTGGCACTGGGGGCACGACATCCTCTAAGCTACTTTCAAGGCTGAGTCTCTTCATACATGCAGTGGGGCTGGTGGGAAGGGGGGTGGCATCGGTCATACGGGGAACAGATAAAGGAGGAGGGGGAGCAAAGGTCATCTCTGTGTAGTCACCTTTGGTAAGAGCAGGCGGCTCTAACACAGGACTTCCTTTCTGTCCCATCTCCTTTGTCTCCGCCTCTGTTCTCCTCTCATCCTCTTTGCTCTGATCTCCCTGTGTGCCCTGCCGGCTGCTTCCCACACTGGGACAAATCAAAACTTCAGGTGTGTGGTTCAGACACCCTGCTGAGTGGGAATCCTCTCCTTGGTGTGATTCAAGGTGAACCGGTGAACTCATATCAATGTTAGCATAGTCTGACAATGACAGGGCTCCACCATCTATGCACATTACACTTCCAGGCTCTGAGTTCTCCATCAGCGGGACATGGGCAGCTCCACCAAATTCTATGTTGATGTATTCTCCAGGGCTGCGAGGTTCTGAGGGAAGAGGATGCTCGCTCATACATGGTAGTGTTTTAAGGGATTCCAGAGCCAGGCGGGTGGGGCGACACACCTTACTGCGATGCAACACTCCTCCTTCTAGCCGAGTCAGTCTGAGAGGAGAGGGGAGAGAGGACGGAGTGCCTGGCGATTCTCCAGGGGAGACGGGACCACTGGTGGACTCTTCTTCTATCCGCTGTCTCTGTAAACTCATCACAACATACTGATCAGTGTCAGATGACCCATTTCGCTGTAACTGTCCTTTAACTAATCTTTGTAGAGAGTTGTAACAAAAAGGTGGTCTGTGGTGGAGCTGTGGGTCCCCTGAGGGACTGAGATGGTAGTCAGGAGGTGTGAGAGAAACCGGAGCATCAACAGGAGACATGTACAGGTACTCTCCAGTGTTTGGCTTTCCATCACTGCTTTCCACTGACATCTTCTGCCCACACCACATTGGCATGTAACCACTGTCCTCCAGAGAAACACTGACAGGGGAGTCCTTGCGTGGGGCCAGCCCTGCGGTGCAGGAGTGTGAACGGGGGTTTATGATCTGTTTGGGAGCAGAAACACACATGGGGCTCATGGGCATGTAGGGGCTGTCCTTGGACCCTGGAGTCTGGGGTCCAGCTCCAGGCATCATGGGCATGTAGCCACTGTCACCATGGAGACTGTTAGAGCTGCTGTGAACGTCCCTGTTGTCTTCTAACCCGCTTCCTTTAGGTGAGGCTGTGTGGCACCTCAGAGAAGACTGGCTTCCACTGGTGTACGTGGCTCTCATCAGAGTGTACTCATCCAGAGAAGCTGAAGACACCTGAGGGGGCCGCCTCTGCTGGCGGGGGGTAGTAAGGGAGTATGTCCGCTTTCGATAGACTTTATCCAGCTCTGACATTCGCCGGTAACCATTCTGATTTTGCCTCTCCATCACCATGTAACCATCAAGTTCACTGCCGTCCCTAGAGGGTGGGGTATCGGCTTTGAGAGACTCAGGAGTGTTGCTACGTAGGGTTAGTGGTAACCTGAGGTCCCGTGCATCGGCAGGGCTGGAGCCATATTCCTCACACGAAATAAAGCCTGCATCACTGGGGGAGCCTGAGAAAGATGCACTGCAGCTGGAAGGGCGGGGGACACTGCTGTCCACACATGAGGACACATTTCCAGCACATGGGGTCGCCGCAGGTGGAGAATGGGACAGAGGCATTGACATAGACTTACTGTGCTGGAGGGTAGATGATTCAAAGGTTAAAGACGGCCGTGCTGTTATGGTGTGAGACCGGCTTAGAAGGGTCCTGTGGACCCCTGGGCTGAGGGGGCTCTCAGTGACAGACATTGGGCGTGTCATGGTGCCATCGCCCTCACTGGCGGTGCGTATCCGGCAAGATAAGCATTTACTACTCACTGGAGAGGTGGTAGATGTGCTGTCAGTGCGGGACCTGCGGGAGAGCCCGGTCTGACTCGGGGGGAGATTATTCAGGTGTCTCCTTGTTGGTACAGATATGGGGTTGGTGCTGGATGACTGGCTTTTACTGCGCGGGCGGAACTCCGACAGCTCCTTCATCGCTTTCATGGCCTCCAGGATAGTTTCGTGAATATTTTGAGCCACCACCGAATCGTCAGCTTGCATCCACAGCTCACCGGGACCGATGACTGCAGACCGACCCACCTCGATGAAGAAAAAGCTGTCGGAATGGCCGCACCTTCGGATGTTCATCAGCTGTAGTACGACGGAGGCGACCTCCGAGTTGAGTTTAACGAAGCTGATCATCCGGCTGGAGAGGCAGAGCCTGTAGACGCCGGTTAGATTCCTGCTCTGACCCAGTCCTCTGGATTTTACGTTGACTTGCCATACCTCCTTGTAGGCGGCGGCAACCGGCGTTATTACACCGTAACTCGCCTCGTCGAAGCCAACCAGCGAGGACGCAGAGTTGGACGCCGAGCCGTCACATACTTTGGCCTCAGCCGTCAGGTCCGTCAGTGCGCGGTACCAGCTCTCCTGTTCCTGCTCGCTTTCAGCCGCCACGGCAAAATACTCATCCTTGGTGTAAAGAGCAATGAGATACCTGTGTTTGGCGTCCGCTCTCTTGCTGACGTTGAGGCAGCAGTCCAAAGGAACAACTCTCTTGGCGGCGGACTTGTTTCTCCATTTCTTTTCGCTCTCGTAGTACTCCAAGCGCGCAGAAAACCCATCGCACGGCTCCTTTAAAACGAAAAAGCGCTTGTGCCCGTGTTTCTGTTTCTTCAGATATCCACATTTCTTCGCGCTGTTATTATTGCTGTTTATATTACAAGCGTTGGTCATAAGCGACTGACCGCCCGCGGCCGGCGGACTCGCCATTCTTGCGTCCCTTTTTAGACCAAACCAGAGTGCAGCGCTTTAATTTCCAGGAGCAGCTTGGGGAGAAAAAGGAAAAATAAAGAGGAAAAAACAAACTCCGCGCTTTATTCTTTATCCTCTATTTCCAGAACTATACTTGCGCTTTTCTTCTCCTGCAGCCAAGCAATAAATAACACATGTCGACTGATGTTGAGACTGAAGAGAGGAAACAACATGTGACGGTCTACACATTCAGCTTTGGCTTAAAAAAAAGGAAGGGAAAGGAGAAGGAAAAAAAAAAGCTCACTCACACATACACACCGGCTGTGGGCGGTGCGCCCTGAGCTCATTGGGCTTATTGGTGGAAACGGATGAATGCTGTAGAGAGAGGAGGCGCAGGCCCTCCTACTATTACTCTGCCCTCTTCCGACTCATTTACGCGCAGTCACACAGCAGCGTAGCTTTATTTATAGCCTCTCTACTCCCATGATCTATCCAGATTTTTTTTTTAGCAGGATACAGATCCAAAAAGACAACCAATAAGGTCTTGTTGTGTAAATCTACAGGCGGATTATAAAACACTGTCATCTACGCAGTTAAAAATATAATATTTTTAATTCATATTAATAAAAAATAGCTAAATTATATTGTTGTTTTGTGAAAAACCCATTAGAATAAAGCTTTTTTTCGATATTTAAAAATCATTTCTATAAAATAAAGTATAGGCATATTCAGAATAACTTATAATAGTAATATATGGATATTTATTGTAGTTAATGTAAAACTATCTTTAAGAATCTATAGCCATTGCATTTTATTTAGTAATAATAATGATATAACGTATTCAATATATTTTTGCAGACATTATTTTAGATTTGAATATATTTTTCTATATTATTTTTATACAGTAAATACTATTTCACAATATATATAGTTGAATTATTCTAGATCGAATTTTATTTGTATTTCCTTTTTAGTTATTGTGTTTTATATGCTATTTAGAGGGATGATATATTTTAATATATTAAAATATTGATAAAATGTTTTGTCAAATAAGTTAATAGGTGTAATAATTACAACAGAAATGCTACTACAATATTGCCAAAATTGATTCCAGGTAGTATTTCATATAATGATATAAGGTAGTATAAAGTTCTTATTTACTTTGAAACTTATGTAAATTCTATCTATCTATCTATCTATCTATCTATCTATCTATCTATCTATCATCTATCTAGCATTATAGATACACAGATTTTTATACATAATTTATAGATAGATTTTGCTGTATTGTAATCTTTTTTTATTATAACTTATGTTAAATAATATAACATATTTTCAAAAATGTGGTTCATAAAGGTATTATTTTTGCAGCATTTACATAATATATTAATTTAAAACTGGACCATAACATTAGATTATAGTGTATTTATTAGAAGTAGCACAATAATATGGATTAAATAAAAATACATATTTTTGTTTGGTAAAACAATAATACATGTCTAGGTTATTTTTTTCTTTTCACCCAAACTACTACAGAGATATGTTAAATGTGTCTTGTTGCATAACATATGCTCCTGCTTCACAGTAGTGTTTGCCTAGAGCTGCTCAAAGCAAGGCCATTTTTATCTGCGCAAGAGAAAGACGTTGGAAGGTTCAGGCTTTAATCTTATATTCATGAATAAAACATCTTTACTATGTATGCACCCATATATGGTCAATCCAAAAGTGACGCAAAAAATAACTCTCCTTTTTCACCACGTCACCAGCTTGCAATGTGCGTAATGATGAAATGCTGGACCCAGATTGGTGTGCTGAACAAGTCATGAAGCCTGAGAGAGGCAGAAATCTGTCAGCTTGCCTGACTTCCTGTGGGGAGGGAGAGGGAAAGAGCAATGCAGCTCATCCTGCTCAGCAGAAGGATGGTGCTGTTTCACTGACAAGGCAACCAGTACACCGTGTCCTTATCGTTCTGAATGCAGGTCAAACACAGGAAACAGGAGGCTGTCTCATAGTGGAATTTGTATATATTGTGTAAATTTTCACATAAAGTTTAAACAATAATCCACATTGTGATCATTTTGAACCACACTGTATCCTGAGAAGTGTGGAAAGACGACACCCCTGTCAATTTAAGAGTTATTACAGTCATGTTGTCTTAAATATTTAAATCACAGTGTTCATAATTTCTTGCAAAAACCCTGTGACAATCAAAATCTTAGTGTATATTGGAATTTTACTTAAAAGATTAAAAGACAAATATGAATTGATGTTAAATTAAGCAAGAGAAATAATAAATGCTTTTAGAGAACCAAAGCTCGGCTTAGTCTTGTATGTATTTTCTTTACTTATCTTGAGTCATTACTTGAGAACAACTATTTCAAAGAACTCATATTGATTACTAATAGATTACGTTGGCTTTCAGTAGCCCTTTCTTAAATTTATACAATATTAATAGACTGAACCTAAATAAATGTCACATAAATATACAAAAAGTTTTTAAATACACACAAAGTAATGACAATTTACATCTGTTGATTCAAGCTGCAGACATCTTGAATGCTGAAGTCCATTATGGTTGTTCTGCTCCAACTTAGAACTCATAATTACTGTATGTCTTTCAGTTACGTTCCAGTTGAAATTTCCTACTCTGAAGTTACATAATCTGATTTCTGAGAACCGATAGAATGCATCATTTGTTAACTAATCAAAAGCAACTAGTTACAGAGATTTTTATAAGGGGTTAAGGAGTAAAATGGCCTGAATACCACTTCTCTGTCAAGGTCACAGGGGTGACCCATCACTTTGGACAGGTTACCATTTTTTTAACTATAGGTAAAATTTGTGGAAGTAACAAAATATAAAAACATTATTAAATCTGAAAAAATTTTCTAGGCACCTCCCACCGTGTGACTGAGGTGTCTTATGTGTCTCATATTGGGTTCAATCTTTGACATGAACTGCAAGTGAAAATATTACAACAGTGTAATGTTGCTTTACATTAGGTTTAATGTTGCTTTACATTAGGTTTAAGCTACATTTTTTTTTGCATAAACCTCTCATTATACTGTCAGAAACATTTCAAGTAGAGGTCAACTGGCCTAGTATATTAGTACAGGAAGCACAAACAGAAATGCAGTGGAGTTGGTGTAAGGGGGAAGCAGGGGGAAGTGAGAATGATTCCCTCCTTCTGTATAACCCATGAGGCGTAAGAAATTGAAAGTAGCCGTCTTTAAAATACCAGTCCTGTGTTTATTGGATTGGCCTGGTGCTGTCTGTGATACGTCCCTTTTCTTAGTTAACTACATGAATATTTATTTCCTTACACTTTACATGGCATAGTGCATTAATTTGCAAGTTAATTAAATGGTCGACCGAACATGATTTACAAGGCTTGAAATGGGGCATCTCAGTGTCTCTCACTGTTACCTCAAATAGATCTTTATAAGTTCATTTATTTTGGGATTGCATTCTGCTCTCTGGATATATAACATATTGTTCAAATTCTCATTATTAATGCAAACCAACAGCACAAATTGGTTAAATGAAATTGATTTGCAGAAATTGACCCTGTTAATCTAGTACAGGCTTTTTGTTTGATCGCATACAAACAGCCACACTTGCCCCATTTGCTGAGTCACAGACATGTAATATTCCAGTCATCCCTCCTGCACTGTCACTGTTTGTAACGATTAGTTTGATAAGCTTTCATAAAGTAGATTAGAACGGTCCGAACTGATGAGATAGGATTAAGGACAAAGTGATGGCTGGGGGAAAGGATTAGAACAGTCATGCACCATAGACTACCACATTCAGCCCCTCCTCAAATGAACAGTACAAACATGTATTGTTGGCACCAAAACATCTTACACACACACTCACCATCCCACCTCCGCCTCATCTCATTAGTCAAAGCCCTAACAGATTATAGCCGAAGCCCGTGGTGTCTGATTCATATTGTTGTGGCACTGGTGTTTTGATGTTTTTGATCTCAGTTTAATCCCTGTGTTATTTATTGACTGTTAATTTCTTTCTTTTTCCTCTATCTTGTTTGTTAGTGTTTTTTGTTTTTTTCTTTTAGCATCATAACACATGCAGTTGTGCTTAACATATCTTTTAAAAAGACCTTCGATGATATCACTATTGTTTATCCAATATTACGCATAAAGATTTCTTGTTTTGTCCTCGGAATGCAAAGATAGGGGACTGTTTCCGGGAAGTGGTCATTTCTAGAAAAAAGGAATGATCATTTTTAAAAGCCAATTTCTTACCATTGTTGTTACTTTTTTATTTATACAACAAAGCACCTGTGTGGTTTCTAAACAATTACGAAGTAATGTCAGCAAAACAAACTATACAACCATGGTAAGCAAGGTGGGGACATGACTCCGTTTGAGTAGACATTTTGTAAAATTTTGGTAATTGTGGTAAAATTTTGCAGTATTTTGCACCAACAGACGGCAGTGTACTTAATTGGGATTTTATGTTTGTCAGTGTAAAGTAAAGAACAAAAGTCACAAGAATTTTTATCTAACAATTTATGTGTAATACCAGCAACCTGTTGGCTTAGCGATTTATATAACTAGTAAAGTTTGGCTGTGTTTAATGAGATATTGGTGTGAAACATAGCCTAGGTGCGGCTTGAAAAGACTTGAGACTGGTGCAGCAGTTTGGCCTTCTGCAGGATAATGACATCCCCCTTTTTAGGAGACTGTTTGTCCTTTTGCTTCCTCTGTTGCGTTCACTATTCTAATTAGTATCTTCTAACCTACCACATAAAGTTGTAAAAAGTAATAAATAAACTAGAAAAGCACTCAGAGAGTGCAGACCTCTGACAAGCCGCAAATTTTGCGCCATATTGGGACTTATCATAGCTAAAACTCTAAATTAAATGATCTGGATCTTTACCAAATTGTAACGAACTGTTCCTTCACATGAGGTGCACCTTTGGTAAAAATTTCCTTTAAATCCTTTTATAAGTTAATGAATAAGGCCTAGCGTGTGTCTGCAGCCTCTGGTGTTTGCTCTGTTCTCACCTTCTTCATTCACTCTGCATACTGCTTTTCTTGTTGGATCAGCATATCGAGACTTCAAGCTCAGCATGGTTCATCGTTCCTGTGTTTTTCTCTTCAGTATAACAGTTTTGGACTTCTTTGAGTTCAATCATGAGGCTGTTAATAATCCCTGCTGCGTCTCTCTGGTGTAGGAAGGAAACGCTTGTTCCGTCAAGTAATGTTGAAGAAGCATTAAAAAAATTCCTGCATCCATATTATG